GTTTTGGGACCCAGAACCAGTGGCTTGAAATCACATGGGTACGTGTGCATGAGTGCCCAAAATCCCAAGAGAAAAAGAGACTTTAGTGTGACCATCCCCCTGAGGGGCAATTTCTTACTTTCCCTCTCTCTGTCTCTCTCTCTAGCACTCAGATCCCTCAGGATCTGTGGCAGGGCCAGTGGGGCTGGGCGGAGCTTTCTCCCCTGTTTTAGCACCGGTGCGCACAGAGCGGTAACTGAGCCCAGCCCTCACCCATTGTGCAGGGGAGACGGAGGCCCGGTGAGGGCTAAGGACTGCCTTGTGTCCTTGTATTTCCACCAGCAGGGTGGGCGTGCACTTGGGGTGCCGCCGCATGGTGGAGGAGTTGGGGGGGCTTGAGGGGACCAGCGTCCCCCTTCCGCTCTCATGCCTGTCTTCTTCCTGCCTTGAGCAGGATGCGGGGTGCTCGGCGGGATCTGGCTCCGGGGTCTCTGCATGGAACTACATGCACCTCCTCCTCATCCGCGACACGGAGGTCTGCCCAGGGCCGGCCTCTATTACTTCCCCAGCAGAAAGATGATGGCTCCCAGAGCAGTGGTATTTCTTGCTTTATAATGAAATGCCATTTCAAGTCAGGCTGGCGAAGTGGAAAGAACTTAAGTGCCAGACCCAGGTGGGCCAGGGTTCGAACCCCGGCTCCTCTTCTGCCTACTTGGACAGGGACTTTGCTCTCCTAGTGCCAGCAACTCATCTAGAGATGGGTCTGCGTCTGAGCCCACCTCGCCCTGCCCTGGGAGGCTAAGTGAGGTGGGGATGGCAGGCCTTGGCAAAGCCCAGCTCCACCAGGCGCCAGGCACGGAAATGCCTGCTTCTTGCCAGACTCACCAGGTGGGCACTGAGCTGCAGGTAGGCTCCATCTCCTTTGGCCTCACCAATCCAGGTACTGCCTGCGTAGACCAGTGAGGAGCCTGAGGCACAGGGAGGCACCTAGCTGTGGAGCCAGAACCGAGCCCAGGGACCTGGCCCAGAGTGTGTGGGTGCACGAACGTGTACCTGTGTGTGTGCATCCATGCACGTGTGTGCAAGTGTGCTGCACTTGTACCGATGCTCATGCAGACTCACCCCCCGACGGCCTCTGAGCAGCCTGTGCCAGCCAGTGCCTCAGCTGAGGTGTTCCCGGCCGATCCTTGGGCCTCCTGGGGGAGAGCTGACCGCTCCTGTGTCTGCCACCAGTTCCCGGAGCAGCCTGGGAAGTCCCAGCCTAGCTTCTCAGGCATTTGTGGAGGGTCCGGGGCCCCTGATGGAGACCAGGCCCCCTCCCCACAGCTCCTGCCATGGGTGAGTGTGGAAGGGAAGGCAGAGGTGGTACCTGCCGACTGCAGGCACCGGGCCACCCATTTCCTCTGGCTGTCATCGCTTTTGATAATGATCATCCTATGTCGATGCTGGGAAATTCTTTGAGTGAGCATTTGTTGGAAAATCTGCTGTGTGGGTGGCCAAGACGTGATTGTCAGGCATGGGTTTGTAGGGAGGGGGAGGCACAGTTCTTTGGCCCAGAATGGCTGTGGGGGGAAGGGTGCAGAGGGAAAGTGGGGAACTAGTGCAGGGACAGGGCAAGTAGCCCTGGCACTTCCCCCTGGCTGGGCACCCTAGGTGTGTTGCCCCACTTCTCCGAACTCCTCCCTGGTCTCCCGCTCTCTGCCCAGCCTCTCTGAGGGCCCATCTGACACTGACAGAGGCCTCTTGCCCTTGAGTGACCTGGCGGCATGGAGGGACATGGCCTCGGGAGATACGCCACCGCGGCCCGGCTTCGCGGAACCCACTGCCACGGCGGCAGGCTTCCCCCTTTCTGGGAACCTGCTTCGTCAGCTTCCTCTGTGGTGACGTCACTCTGTGTGATCCTCCGGCCATTTCCACACCCTCCTAGCACTGGCCCCGCAGGCCTGCTAGAGCCCCTCCGGCCTGGCCTGGCTCTGGTGGCCTTTCTGCCCCAGCGAGGCCCTGGGTGGCCAGCCCTGCCAGCAGCCACAGTCGCCCCTGGGCACCGATGGCTGGCCACACAGAGGCAGAGCTCAGCTGCTCCGTCGAGGAGCACTCAGGCAACATCAGAAATGTGCCTGCAAAGTCGTCGTGTCATCTGGAAAGCACCCAACAAGGGAGATACCCTCACCCCTGTGTTAGGAGTGCCGTGTGCCCGAGGTCACAGCTCGCTCATGCGGGAGAGCCGGGCCTCACCTCTGCGGCTCCAGGGCAGTGCTCCGGCCCACGGCCAGCTGCTAGCCCTCCTGCAGTGCTTGCCTTCTCTGACCCTCTGCCGTGTTGCCTGTCCTCAGGAAAGGGCGTGTGTACATGTCCTCCACCCCACCACCTACCCACTACACGCCCTGCCCTCCCCGCTTCCTTCTCCCCTTCCTTCCGTCCACCGCCTTCCCCCATCCAGTATTTCTCAAGGTCTGTGTGGAGTTCCCGATTTCCAAGGAGGCTGACAGGGTCTCTACTTACTGTCTGGATGGGGAGGAAGAATCCCCTAAATCCAGAGAGGCGAGAGCCAGGTAGGCCACGTGGTGCGGGACAGGCCTTCAGATGCCAGCACGCTGTGGCCGAGGTGACAGGAGGGGCACCATGGCCATCGGCCACCTGGTCTTCGAGTGGGCTTGGGGACACCCCTGTGGATGGGAGGACTTCAGGTCACAGGAGCTAGCCCTCCCTGCAGCAGGACTCAGAAAGCAGGGGGGCCCAGAGGCTAGGCCAGGAGAGAGCTCAAGATGCCTGCGTGGGGAGAGGATGGGGCCAGGCGGGGACCTGTGCACCAGCCAGCGTTCCCAGGGCCTCTTGTTCTCCAAGAGGAGCTAGATTCTACAATAGACTTTTTTTCCCCTTAAAGAATCTCGGTTCTTGGGCCAGCTGGTTAAGGCACTGGATCCCACATGGCCAGCTGCACGGTTTGTGTCCCACACCTGGGTGTGTGTGTGTGGACGCAAAATCCTGAGGGGAGGGACCAGCAGTTAGCATAATGGCTATGTCACTGGACTCCCATGTAGTCGACCACGGTTCCCGTCCCGGACCCGATGGCTTAAAACTCATGCCAGGTGCGTGTGCGTGCATGCCCAAGATCCCGAGAGGAGAATGGAGGAGAAGGGATTGTGGCGTGGCCATCCCCCCTGGGGGGTGATTTCTCGCTTTCTGTCTCTCTGTCTCTCTCTGTCTGTCTGGCGAGCACACGCGCCCTATAGCAAAAACCTCTTCCAAAAAAAATGCCTTTAAAAAAATGCGTTTTAAAAAAATCCCGAGGGGAGACTGGAGAAGGATTGCAGCATGGTGTATTCCCTGGTAGTGGTTTCTCACTTTCCTTCTCTCACTAAAACAAACAACAACAAAACAGTCAAACAGCAAAAACCAGTTTCCTTAGTTTTTAAAGGGCAAGAAAGGCTGGCTTGCTCAACAGCGCCCCCTGGTGGTGCCTCATCCCTGTCTGGTCCTCTCTGGTCATTAGGCCTGCAGGAATCTTGGTGTAAGGCGGTTTTTCAAAATCGTCTATCTGGGCCCCTTTACTATTTGTAAAACATGTTCATACCCTGAAGAGTTTTGCTTATACAAACTATATGTCAATAATTGTGATATTAGACATTAAAACAAAATTTTAAAATATTTATCAATTGCTTTAAAATAAAACCCAGTAGATTTACATATAACCTTGGGTGCACATTGATTATATTTTTCAAAACTAAAAGCATTTCATGCATGAGCACCATGGTTGTACGTTTTTGCAAATGTCTTGTGTGACTGGCTTCCTGGGCCACACTGGGTCCTCACCTCTGCATCCGTGTTTGGTTAGCCGATATCACACACTGTGTGGTCTCTGGGACGCCACCGAGTCTTTGTGGGAGGATAAGCATGAAAAAGGCAAATGACGTCTGAGCATTTTTGTTGTTGCTGTCACCAGAGGGTATGTGTGCTCACCAGAGAGAGATGGAGAGACAGAGAGGAAAAGAGAGAAAGCATCTTCCAGCGGGGCCTGGCCACGCCACAACCCCGCCTCTCCCATTTCTCCATCCTGCTGGAGAAACATCCTGGCATGTTTTTCAAGCCACTGGGGCCAGGATTTGAACTGCGGTCAGCCCTATGGGATCGAGCTCCCTTAACTAGTAGGCTGTGAGCCAGTCCATAAGCTGAATATCATAAAAATAATTTTTGGATCCCAGGAGTCCCCGGGCACACTTTGGGAACTGCTGGTTGATACAGGGCAGGACTGTGCTCGCTGTGGCCAGACAGGAGGCCGAGACCCCGGAGCTCATGTTGTAGGAATCAGGGTCCCTCTCACCCCTCACTCACTCGGCATGAGTTCTCCCGGGTCCTCAGGAGCCTCGTCTGTTAAGAGGGATGGGAACAATCCCTCCCTCACTGGGTGGAGCTGCTGTGAGGTCTTGGGATGCTGCTGTGGGTCAGAGAGGGGACAGACCAGGAGGCTCAGCCCCAGCACCCAGTCCTGAGGTGTTGAAGCCACCTCAGAACTCATTCTCACTTGCTCATCAACCAGTTCATTGAATTGCTAAGTGCTTAAGCCGTTCTAGAAATTCTGAGCGGTGCCTGGCCCCCGGGCTAGGGAGCCTGTGCTGGGGGCTTGGCCTCTGCTGTGGGACATTCCTAGCATGCTGCGGGGCATGCCACCCACTCTCCCGCTTCCCTCTCCTCCCTCTGCTTGGCATTTTTACCTCTCTGGCCTTTTTCCACCTGTGTTCTGAGGTGCCTCCCATCACAAGCACACCGATTTGCTCGTGGGGTGCATTCCTCTGAGCTGGTGTTCTGCACGTTTGTGCATCAGGGATGGAAACCTTGCTGCTCTATAGGGGTCCATGAAGGCCCATCCACTCCCTCTGCTTGGGCAGGAGGTGCTCCCAGGTGCTCTGTGGGAAGAGACCAGCCACCCCCCCGGAGATGGGAGGAGCCCCCTCCTACCTGTCCTCTGGCAAGGTCCAGGCCTCACTGCCCATCAGCACTGCCCTCCCGAGGGTGTCTCAGCAGGAGGGACGGGGGCAGGTACCTGCAGGGGGAGCACTACTGTGACCTTCACTACACCCCGAGCTCAAGCTCGAGGGGAGCAGCCTCTCCTGTCTGCAGAGGGGGCTGTCAAGGGCTCTGTCTCTGTGGACACAGAGAAGCCTTTGTCAGCTCCAAGGTTCATGGAAAGGAAATCCTTGTTTTTTAAAGGAGAAACAGGGCTCAGGGAAGAGTCCTGACCTACTAGAATCCCATAGCTCCTACGTGACTGGGACTAGAATCCAGACTGAATTTTATCCTGCAGGAAACAAGAGCCACTAAAGGTTACTGAGCATGGGGATGACATACCCAGGCTGCTTTCTAGAAGATAACTCTGGGGGTGAGCAGTCACCCAAGGGAGCAATCAGTCAGAGGAGGTGCAAGTGGGGGTGTCGCTCCCCTGTCCCCTCTCGCTCCCTGGCCTCACCCAGCCTGTGTGTGGGGACCCAGGCTGCTCTCTCACTTGGGTAGGGAGACTGGCTTGTGGCCCTGAGTTGTCTCTGGTCACCCCAGGCTGTGCGGCCTGCGCACCCTGCAGCCCTATGCCGAGAGGATCCCCGTGGTGGCCACGACCGGCGTCACCATCAACTTCACCTCCCAGACCTCCCTCACGGGACCCGGCGTGCAGGTGCACTACAGCTTGTACAACCAGTCGGACCGTGAGTACAGCAGCGGGGAGCAGGGCGCCCCAAACCCCCGGGAGCCTCCCCCTGCCTCTTCACCATCCCTGGAATCACCCAGGGGCTTGCACTGCTTGTGAGGCTGGATGAGAGGAGCGAGTGTGTGTGTGAGCAAAGCAATGCAGCTTTGTGTGTGCCCAGTGTGTTCGCAGGTGTATACACGCCCACGGGAATCACACGTGTGTCTGCATGGGCTGTGCACTCGAGGGCCCAGAAATGGGCGTCTGTGGCTGCCTGTTCATGAGTGCTCACACATGGCTGCGTGCATGCCTGCATGTGTTTTCACAATCATGCGTGTCCTGATGCACCCTCCCTGCCACCATGGTCTCGTGGTTTTCCAGCCTGCCCTGGAGAGTTCCTTTGCTCTGTGAATGGTCTCTGCGTGCCCGCCTGTGACGGAATCAAGGACTGCCCCAATGGCCTGGACGAGAGGAACTGCGGTGAGCCTCCTCCTGCCCGCCCCTCCTCCTCCCTGCCCTGTGCCCCGCTGTGCGGAGACCCCCCGGCAGTCCCTACAGGCAGCACGCTCACTGAGATGCCATGGAGCACAGGGTGGCAGGGACAGGGGTGGCAGAGACAAGGTGGCAGCCCTCTGTGCTGGCCGGCCTTCCCAGAAGGAACAGAGAGGGTGAGGCTGGGACCAGGGAGGGGAGGCTGCTAAGAGGGAACCACCAGGTCCTGGGCAGCTGAGGGATGAAGTCTTTGCCTCCCTCCCTGGAATGCAGCCCTCACCCCTCCACCCCATGGACTCAGGCACCACTGAGCTCTCACTCTTACTGGGGTTGTTCTCACCACTTCCCAGCTCCTAAAGAAGGGGCTCGGTGTCCCCTTGGTCTCCCAAGCCAGGGCTCTCCCTGTGAGTCCTGGATTCTGGCCCCAGAATCACCACCCAGGCATCCAGGCAGGAGGCACCCCCTCCCCTGCCCCACTGCCCCATCCAGGTGTTAACACGGCGGGGGCGGGGGGGCAGTGAAGGGGAGGGAGGCGTGTGCACCTTGGGGCAACGCGCCGTTGTGCTGCGGGGGTCTCAGGGCTGCCATGAGGCTCTGGTGCAAAGTAGCTGAGGAAGGCTGAGGTCAGTACCATACAGTACGCTCTATGCGCTGCGGGAGGACCAAGTCCCGGCCTGGCCCCGGCCTCCTCCCACCTGCCCCTGCTCTGTCCCCACAGTTTGCAGAGCCACCTTCCAGTGCCAAGAGGACAGCACGTGCATCTCTCTGTCCAGGGTCTGTGACCAGCAGCCTGACTGTCTCAACGGCAGTGACGAGGAGCAGTGTCAGGAAGGTAGGGGCGCGGGCGGGCCTTTCTGCACCCCCCCCCCAGCCTTCCACAGG